TACAGGCCCCGGGGACACGGACCACGGCTGCTCCTACAGGCCCCGGGGACACGGACTCCAGAGTTCCTTCCCAGTTTCTGCTGTGCCCGCGTCACCTGGCCTCTCAGTTGTCCCTGGACCAGGGGACCCGGGTCCCACTGAAGAATTTACCTGCTGTGTGGCCCCGAACACGTTTCTTTTCTTTCTTTTTTGAATATTTATTTTATTTATTTGAGTGGCAGAGTTACAGAGAGGCAGAAGCAGAGAGAGAGGTCTTCTGTCCGCTGGTTCACTCCCCAGATGACCACAATGGCCAGAGCTGGGCTGATCTGAAGCCAGGAGCCAGGAGCTTTTTCTGGGCCTCCCACATGGGTGCAGGGGCCAGAGACTTGGGCCATCTTCTGCTGCTTTTCCAGGCCAGAGCAGAGAGCTGGATCGGAAGTGGAGCAGCTGGGACTCAGACCGGCATCCATATGGGATTCCGGCACTGCAGGTCAGGGCTTTACCCGCTACGCCACAGAGCCGGCCCCTGCACATTTCTTAACCTCTCTGTGCGTCGGCTGCACCCACTGGTGATGTCTGTGAAGAGTGGACAGGTTCACGTTTATGAGGCCTCAAAATCAGAGCGGCGTGAAGCCAGCCCCACGCACGTGCCTGCAGCCACCGTGCTTTTTGTATTAGGCTCAGTGGACATGGGTGCCTGCACTTAGCAAACGTTCTTAAGAGAAAGGCCCACCCGATCTGGTGCAAGACCCTCTTGGCATCCCCACGGGAGCTGGGAGCAGGGAAGGAGAGGCCCATCCACGGCTCCACTGGCTCGGCGTCCAGTGCCCGTTCCCCAGCTCCCCGCCTTTCATCACAGCTGTCAGTTTGCCCAGGCTGTGGGACCTCTGGCCCTCGGTCCATGCCCCCGGGCACTCACTGGGTCCCACAGGGCTTGGTACAGTCAGGGTGGCCTCCCCCGTGACCTTGTAGCCCAGTGTCCCTCCCCTGTGTGTGCCCTGGACCTCGGCTACCCAGGGAAGGATGCTGGCCTCCGTGGCCACACGTGGCCGCGGCCCTCCTCGCTCTCTGCTGATAGATGGAGTGGGGCACAGTGACCACACGTGAGTCTCGGTGGCTGCCACAGCCACACAGATGCAGGGCCTTAAAATGACGCGAGCACGTCACCTCTCAGTCCTGAGGCCGCAGGCGGAGCAGGCCTTGGGGGATGCTCAGGGCAGACAGCTTCCTTGTCTGTCCCAGCGTCCG